AGTTATTATTATTATACATATATATATATATATATATATATATATATATATATATATATATATATATATATCCCGTTTATAGCGTAATCCGCCTTTGGGTTCCCGTTCGCCAAGCCTGTCTATTCTGTCAGTCTTCTTCAAATAGATTTATAGATTTCTTGCTGACATGGCTTTTGAAATTCCTTGCATCCATGTTGTTGGTGGTCGTCCTCGTTTTCTTTTCTCTGGTGGTACCCATTCTAATATTTTTTTTGGTAGTCTTTCTTCCCCCATACGTCTAACATGTCCGTACCATGTCAGTTGTTGTTTTTCGATGTCTTCTATAATTGATCTTTGTACATTCATTTGATTTCTTATGTCCTCATTTCTCACATGTTCTAATCGAGACTTTCCCGCTGCTCTCCTCCAAAAATCCATTTCAACTGCCAAGAGGTTACCTTTAAGTTTTTGTGATAACTGCCATACTTCTGAGCCATACACGATTACTGGTTTCAATATTGTGTTATATATTCTTTTTTTCGTTTCCGGTCTTATATTTTTCTGCCATAGTACTGAATTCAATGCACCTATAACTCGTTTCCCTTTGGTTATTCTGTCTTTTATGGCTTCATCAGTTCTTCCTGTCTTTGTTAGTTTTACTCCCAAATATATACATTGATCGCATTTCTTAATTTTCCCGTCTTCTAAGTCGAGGTCATCTGCAGTATTTTCTCCTCCTATGCAAAGATATTGCGTTTTTTGTAAATTTACTTCGAGGCCCCATTTTTTGTACTCTTCCATTAGTTTTCTAGCCATATACTCTAGGTCTTCCTTGTCTTGGGCAATAACTACCTGGTCATCTGCATAATGCAGCGTGTATAACGTTTCATCCCCAATAGACAGCCCCATCCCTTTACACTTCTTTTTCCATTGCCTGAGTGCTTCGTCGATATATATATTAAATAGTATGGGAGATAAACAACAACCTTGCTTCAGTCCTTTTGTTACCTGAAAACCATTAGTAACCTTATTTCCTATTTTAACTTTTGATATTGTGTTGTTATATAGATCTTTAATAGCGTCGATTAGTGAAACGCTGATACTGGTTTTCTCCAATACTTCCCACAATTTCGCAACAGGCACGGTGTCATATGCTTTTGTTAAATCGACTAAAAGTAAATGCACTTCTCGAGATCTCAGTGTTCTTTTCTCGAGTATTTGGGATAAGCAAAAAATACTATCTATTGTGGATCGTCCCGCTCTGAATCCGTTTTGTTCTTCTGATTCAAAAGGACGGTATTCTTCGCATATGCGTTCTTTTATAATTCTCCCATATAATCTGCTAAGCGTACTCGTAACAGTTATACCCCGATAGTTATTGCAATCTTCCTTATTTCCTTTTTTATGAATAGATGTAATCCATCCTTCTTTCCAACTTTGTGGCACTGGTTCTCCGTGCAAGTGCCTATTGAAAACTTCTGTTAGTATCTCGAATAGTTTGTTGGTTCCATATTGTTATACATATTATTATACATTAAGTATGAAATTAGGAACTAAACAAAACGATAACGAAGAACGTCTGATTGAATTGTGCGAACTAAACAACCTAAAAATCGCCAACGGATTCTTCAGACATAAATATATCCATAAATATACATGGACGCAAGAAACACGAAAGCTGAAATCGATAATAGACTACGTAACAGTCAAACAAGATACCACAATAAAGATAAAAGATGTGAAAGTCAGAAGAGGACCAGAATGTGGAACTGACCATAAACTACTGACAGCAAAAATGCTGACATAACAAGACCCCCTCTATGGAAGAACCGTTGAACAATATAAGAGAAATATAATACAATATAGAGCTACTCCAAGAACAATCAATAAGAGAACTATACAAACAACGTCTAGACCAAGAATTAATAGAGTTCAGATACGGCAACATCGAAAAAATATACGACCATATAAAGGCGAGTATAAAACAAGCAGCATTCGAAGCCCTTGGAGAGAAAGAACATTTAACAAATAAACAGCACTATGATGAAATAAGTGAACCAACAAAAAAGAATATTTGAAGAGAAAAAGCAACTATACAGAAAATGGCTGACTACAAACAGCGATGAAGTTTATAAAGAATATAGAGAAAAAGATAGAGAAGTGAAAAAACAAATAACACAACAAAAGAATGAAGAATGGGAACCTGCTTAAATATTGAAACATACATAGGAGGTATAAGAACTTCGGAATCATGGAGAGTACTGAGAGGATTGAAATAAAAATCAAAAGAAAAATTAAATTAGGAAATAGATAGGACTGTTACAAGGAACTGTTAACAGAACAAAGACAACAATTCATTGGAAAAGAATAAAGGTGAAGACGAAGCAGATCCCCACAACAAGAAATAGAAACAACAGATAGGGAAATGAGAACGGCCATAAAGGCAATCAAAAATAAGAAACTCCGAGACCTGGAGGCATCTCACCTGAGCTTATAAAGTACGGCTCAAAAAAATTACACCGGATGATAAAATGGATATGTCAGAAAGCCATAAATGGAGAACAGCTCCCGTAGGAATGGACGAAGGCATATATGACATCCATATTTAAGAAAGGAGATAGAAAACGATGCGAAAACTACAGAGGAATAAGTGTAATAACATTAATAGGAAGATTATATGGGAAGATACTGCGAGAAAAGATAGAGCAAGCGATAAAAGGCAAAACGGGGAGGTACGGGCAGGCTTCATGGCAGGAAGATCATGCATATACACACCGGAACAACTGTTGGAAAAGAAAAAAAGGAAAAAAATAGAGATATACATTTGGCATTTGTGGACCTGAGAAATGCGTATGACTCTGTACTAAGGTCAGAACTATGGGAGGCAATGTACAAATTAGGAGACTTCACCACAACAAAAGGGCTCCTGCAGTGTTGTTCCCCATCTCCAACCCTATTCAAAATATACGTAGAGAAAGCCTTGACTACATGGAAAAGAAAATGCGAAGGCATGGGAATGCCAGTACGAAATCAATACCTATATACGTTAGGCTTTGCAGATGATCAAGTAGTGATTACACAAGACCAAGAAGACCTCAGTTACATAATGAAGAAACTACAAGAAGAATATACCACGGCTGGCCTAGATATTAAAGTCGCGAAAACAGAGTACCTATCTACAAGTAAAGAAGACATATCTACAGATTGATGACAACGTAACAATCAAAGGAAAGGATAAATTCAAATACTTGGGGTATAATGGGTTATAATCACGAAAAAGAACACAACAGTGGAAAAAATTAAGCAAAGATTAGCACAAACAAGAACAGAAATCCAACAACTTAACTCAGTATGATGGAATAGACACCTAAACATGAAGACAAAAACAGAGATTTATAAAACATTAGTGCGAACTATTATGACATATGGGTCTGAAAATTGGATTATAAACAAGAAAAACAGCAAGATAGTAGCAACAGAGATGGAATGAATGCGAAGATTCTGCAGAGTAACAAAAAGTGTTAGGAGAAATAATGACGAAATAAAGCAGAGAACATCAATAGACAGACATACTAACATATAAAACAAAAACGACTAAAGTGGTATGGACATGTAAGAAGAACTAGCGACAGCAGATGGATAAAGATAATAACCGATTGAAGCCGCATAGGAAGGAGAAAAAGAGGACGCCCGAAGATCCTGGAGGAACGAAGTAGACGACGCCATGATTAAAAGAGGCCTAAACGATGGAGAATGGGACCACAGAGAGAAAGAGAAAGAGAGAGAGAGAAAGAGAGAGAGAAAGAGAGAGAGAGAGAGAGAGAGAGAGAGAGGGGGGGGGGAGAGAGAGAGAGAGAGAGGGAGAGAGAGAGAGGAGAGAGAGAGAGAGAGAGAGAGAGAGAGAGAGAGAGAGAGAGAGAGAGAGAGAGAGAGAGAGAGAGAGAGAGAGAGAGAGAGAGAGAGGGAGAGATGGAAACGGTTGAGAGAATGAAGGCAGTGAATACTGTGGAATCCCTGAATATATATGAAATTAGGGCTCGTGTATAAAAATATGGACATCTTGGCCAAAAGAAATCTACAAACATTTTTCCAAGCTCAAAATGTTCCTTTTCAGTTCTTTATTATTAATGTTAAGGAGAATAAGCAGAGAGAGGGAAATGAAAAATACAATAAAAGAAAGGAAATTGCAATATCTCGGACATGTGATGAGAGTCGAAAGATACAACATCTTGAGACTCATAATTCAAGGATAAATAGAGGGTAGGCGAAGCGTAGGAAGAAGACGCGTTTACTGGTTGAAGAACCAGAGAGAGTGGTTTGGTTTCAGCTCAAGGCAATTGTTCAGAGCAGCTGCCTCGAAGGTCAGAATAGCCATGATGATTGAATGTTAATTTAATTATAAATGGTTATTGCTCAAATCTTCACCCTTATAATTAAATTAATTTACAATTGAAAAAAAAATACTTCAAATGGGTCTAACTAAACTTGGGTGGACCCCAGAATTGAAAAGACCACGGTGACCTAACTGGCTTCTAGACTAATTCTTGTATTGTGTGATTAGTATCTCGAAGTTGAATATGACAACCCTCTTAACCTATGCTCCCTCATTTCGATATCAATTAGTGCTAGCCCGAGACCTCCCCTAATATATCCAACCTTAATTTTATCATTTTTTGTCACCACACAGAAAATTCCTGGCTCCTCTTTCGTTTTAACTGTCCAATATTCAGTTCCATACATCATAGTACTTTCCTATCAGTCTCATTGGAATCTTGTTGTTACACACACAACACATAACGAAATCTACACACATATTTTTTAAGTGAAAATAAAATGTCTTTTTTGGAGATTCTAAAATAAACTGCTGTGGAAATAGACTAAATAATGCAGTTTGTTTAGAATCAAGTAACCAAAAGTGACTACGTGACATCACACTAGCATATGCTATGTATTGCGTTTATGTTGCGAACAATAATGTATTTGTACCATTCCACTCGTAGTAGAAATAACAGAAACCTTACCCTTTATCCACATTAGCATCCTTATAATAGCATCATTTAGTACTTAAGAACAAATCTTAAATTGTGCAGCTTAAAAAAAACTGTATCCTACCAATTCACCAGTACAAATAAATGATGCATTCTCAAAGGTCATAATGAAGGGCCATCCATAAAATAGAAACTAAAGACAAACGATTTAATTACAAAAAATATCGATTTAATTTAAAACATCGGCCTGAAAAAGCAAATCTACTAATTTATTAAATAGGCAATAAATAAACCCAAACATTGAGAGTTATAATGCGAAATAATAAAAACTAGATACTAAGATACTAAACCCGGAAAATAAGTAAAAAACGATTAGTAATAAAGATCAATTTATTTAAGACCAAAACCCAAAAAATAAACTTAAGTTAATGAGTTAAGGTTATAATACTAATAAGCTTATATAGGCAACGACTTTAACGAGGATTCATGCAAGAATTTAAAGCTCTATTGACGGAGTGTCAGTAACGGTAGAGAAAATAAAGAAACTGTAGTTACTAAGCTGTTGTTAGTGGTAAATATTATTGGTTACAGTTGAAAACCGTAAGAGGAAAGAAAGGTGTTCTCTAACTCCATTCAAGCAACGCATTGAGTGTTAATTGAAGAGAAATTAAGTTGGAGATGCTAGCAGGAGCAGTAAGAGGAGGAACCGAAAAGTACGAGTACTTGCGGGGAAGGTAGATATATATTATATAAGGTAGAAATTCTAAGACCAATGTTGGGAAACAAAAAAAAATGGACTAGAAAATACAAAAAATATACGGCACATTAAACTTTTGGTCGAAGAAAAACTGTAACTGTAAGTTTGCAAACTGTTGATTGAGTTTTGAAAAGCTTTAAAAAGCATGGGATCTGATGCAAAAGGTGACCAATATGTTGTGATAGCAAACCGCGAAAAAAAAAAACAAGAGTATGAGATACAAAGAAGAATCATTGAAGATTATAGAAGCGCAGGAGAAATTACCAAGAATTCTAAAATCACAAGATGTGTCTAAGACAACTAAAGTAAGTAAATAAGATAAGATTATACACCACAGTGGTAGAGCCGGTTAGGTTTTAAATCATGGGTTGTGTTCCTCTGCATGTGTTAACAGTGGAAAAGAGACATCTCTATGAGATAAGAGAATATTTGACAGCAGCAATAAAAAAGGAAAAAAGAGAAAGATCAATAGGAAGATGACAAGAAAAATGGAACAACACGAAAGACGCTAATCAGTGGACCAAGAGGCTGATCACGAGCCTAAGGGACTGGATTACTTCCTAAAGCAAGTGCTCACAACAAGTACTCAACGCAAGTCCTTAAACACATGGGTGTTTTAGGATATATCTTTATAGATTCAGAAAGACAGATACAGATATATTTATAGATGGAGTGTAATACATGGACAGTGGAGAGAAACAGAATGTACAGAAATATACGTACTAACCCTGTAACTGTGGGAGACATGATCGTGAAGATGACGGGAAGTAAGAAGGGATGGAATATTGTACATAATTACATTCGAACAGTAATTAAAAAGAAAGAAGAAGAAGAGAAACACCAGCCGGACCAACGACAGAGATAAGATATAGATAAGAGAAAGTAGTGCCCCGAAAGTGTCGTCAGCCTTACAGCGGCCATCCCACTTTCGGAGTATGGTACGTGCGACAGTCAACTGAGCACAAGTAGGAGAGGGTGGTTTAGTTGGTAGGCAGGATAACAGGAAGGTACCTGTTTGCAGGACCTCCTTCTTCTAAGGGGAAATGGGCTCGGATGTACTCCTCCACCCTGAATCCAACACACGCCAGCCGTCCCTAGAAATGGGAGGTTTTAATCTGTGGATTATGGACCTTGACAGGAAATCATTACCATGCATGATGTTATAACTCGTCATGAGTGTCGCGCTTACTACCGCCTTCCATTCCTCGCGATTTTGCGCCATTATTTTCTATTGTCTCACTCTCATTTTCGCCATATAATCTCTGTCTATAATTCGTGAACAGAACAAACTTGAGAGAAGAAAGGAACAAGGACAAATCTACGGGGAAAGAAAAATGGAAGGTGGATGGAGGAGAAGAACCAAGAACCTTTCTAAGAAGTAGTGGAATTCTATGAGAAGTCGTCGATAACGGTAGAAGTACGAGGGCAAAAAATCTCAGGCAGGACAACGTGGAACACTACGGCAATACAAAGTGACACAAAGAACTGAGCAGAACATTGACAGAAACGATAAGAAGTGGAACACCAAGAAACAAATGCATACTCAATAGAGCCAGATTTACAATTACCATATTACTAAATATTTCTTAAATATTACTAAATTACATTGATCACTAACCAATGCATTACTGGTACTAGGAACAGAGGATGGTTCTTGGGTGGAGGTTGGTGGCGTGAGGATTGGCGCGAACATGTCTGACAGTAGGATTTTGATTGGCGGGTGGAGCGGACGATATCTTCTTTATGAGAGGTCTCCATGTCGAAGGTAACCGTATGGTATGGTTAGGGAATAGAGAACATTTTGATAAAGTGATCGCAACGTACTGGAGTGTGCTAAAAGAAGATACTACAATAGCACTATAATCGTATGTACAGCGATCACTCGATTTACATAGTGAACACTGAGACACGTGAGTCCTGACAGACAGGTTAAATGCTGTCTCCTTATTTTTATGGTGTAATTGGTTACATAGCACCGAAAGAATATTTGGTGCAGAAATTTCGATGCGGAAAAGTCGATAGAAAAGGTAATTTTATACAATGTATAATTGGGATAAATTTAATATGAGGGGAAAATTTATTTTGCCAATTTATCTATTTATTTTTTATTTTCAGACAAATTTTTAAATCATTTCTAATATTATTCCAGACAAAATTAAAGCACTCTAGCTCATTTAGCAAATTGAGGGCCCAAATATATGGATTGATACACAAAAGAACTATCTATCTAAAGAAGTACTATCAGAAGCAAAGTTTTAACTCATAAAATCAATATTGTTCTGAAGCTATTTTCTTGTGGCATTTTAAAGTAATTACTATTTAAATATTGTTCTAAAGCTATTTTCTTGTGGCATTGTAAATTAATTACTATTAAACTGGGAATAAGCCACAATTAAAGATAAAAATACGTTTATTGACGTTTCAATTTCCACTTCGGAAATCGTTCTCAAAATACAAACAGTAAATTAAACAAATTTTGTTTTTTGTTACATAGTGAAAAATTCTTCTAATAATTTAATTTTATCTGACTCATTTATATTGACAATTCAGACATACATTATGGCATTTTAAAGCAGACGACTTTAAAATGATATTGCCAATATTGTTGAGTTGCGCTCCTGGAACGACTTTACTTATAAGATAGTTCATTCGATTACATGAAATCAACTTTAACTTGAGAATATCCGTCAGAAAAAAATCATAGCATGTAATTCGTCTTCAAAAAGACAAACACATGACATGATGACAGTAAAATTCTCCTGTTAGTGATTCCATAGTAAATTATGAGGGAAAAACCAGGAAAAAAAACCTCATAATACTATCCCGACATTGTAAGTATTTGTTCGTGAATTTAGTTTACCTTCAACAAACATCAAAATTCTGATTTTATATGTTACGTTATTTAAAAAACATAAATGATGTATCCTCTATATATTACTGACTTACTAATACTGGTATTTTCTTATTAATAACTTCCTCTTTCAATATTGATAACCAGATCCTACTACATTTTGCCGAGGAATTTGCGACACAATTGGCCTCATTTAGCATAATTAGAGCCGCTTCTTTGATTTTTCTTTTTTTACCATCCGTTTCTTTTAGGACTACAATTGAATTATTCCATTGAACCCTATGTTCATTATCCCATGCGTGTTTACAGATTTGAGATCTATCAAATTCTCTATTTTTAATATAAGATTGATGTTCACTTATTCTAATATTTATTATTATTTACACCTCATTACAGTAAGACTCCTCATTTTTATGGAGTACCGAAAATTCATAAAACGAATATACCACTTAGACCCATTTGTAGTACCATGAATTCTCCTTGTAGTGAACTATCAAAATCTTTATTAAATATTTTAAAACCTTTTACAAATAAAAATGACACATTCATAAAAAATACACAACATTTTTTAAATAAATTATCAAATATTGAATTTAATTCAAATCATACTTTGGTAAGTTTTGACATAAATAGTTTATTTACGAATGTGCCATTAAATAAGACTTTAAGTATAGTCAAGACAAAATTAGAGAGTGATGATTCATTGGCAACTAGAACAAGACTAAACATATCGGCTATAATGGAGTTATTAACATTATGTACTGATAATACATATTTTCAACTAAATAATGAATTCTATAAACAAAATTTTGGTCTAGCAATGGGCTCTAGTTTATCTCCATTCTTAGCCGATATATTTATGGAAGATTTTGAAACAAATATCATTTCTAAACAAAATTTCAAACCCACAGTATGGTGGAGGTATGTAGATGATGTATTCTCAATACGGCCTCATGGATCAGAGTTGTTGGATACATTCCTAAATAATATAAACGATAAAGAAGAGACAATAACATTTACCATGGAAAAGGAATATAATAACACGCTACCTTGCCTGGATGTTTTAATCTCTAAGAACGATACTGGATATGAGACTCAGGTGTATAGAAAACCAACACACACCAATAGATATTTAAATTTCAAATCAAATCACAATATTAATGTAAAAAAGGGAATAATTAAATCCTTATACGATAGAGCCAAAATTACTTGTTCTAACGCAGAACAACTTAGAACGAGATCCTACAGCATACACAAGGAATAATATGAGGAAAATAACAATACCGTACATAAAAGGACTATCAGAAAAACTTAAAAGGATAGGAAATAAATTCAACATTTCAACAACATTCAAAACAACAAACACGTTGAGATTTATTTTGTCCAAAACCAAACCTAACAATGAACAAGATAGGACAAACAATTGCATTTATAAAATACCTTGTGAATGCGATCAGTTTTATTTAGGTGAATCATCAAGGCCATTAAATATTAGAATAAGTGAACATCAATCTTATATTAAAAATAGAGAATTTGATAGATCTCAAATCTGTAAACACGCATGGGATAATGAACATAGGGTTCAATGGAATAATTCAAATGTAGTCCTAAAAGAAACGGATGGTAAAAAAAGAAAAATCAAAGAAGCGGCTCTAATTATGCTAAATGAGGCCAATTGTGTCGCAAATTCCTCGGCAGAATGTAGTAGGATCTGGTTACCAATATTGAAAGAGGAAGTTACTAATAAGAAAATACCAGTATTAGTAAGTCAGTAACATATAGAGGATACATCATTTATGTTTTTTAAATAACGTAACATATAAAATCAAAATTTTGATGTTTGTTGAAGGTAAACTAAATTCACGAACAAATACTTACAATGTCGGGATAGTATTATGAGGTTTTTTTCCCGGTTTTTCCCTCATAATTTACTATGGAATCACCAACAGGAGAATTTTACTGTCATCATGTCATGTGTTTGTCTTTTTAAAGACGAATTACATAATATGATTTTTTTCTGACGGATATTCTCAAGTTAAAGTTGATTTCATGTAATCGAATGAACTATCTTATAAGTAAAGTCGTTCCAGGAGCGCAACTCAACAATATTGGCAATATCATTTTAAAGTCGTCTACTTTAAAATGCATAATGTATGTCTGAATTGTCAATATAAATGAGTCAAATAAAATTAAATTATTAGAAGAATTTTTCACTATGTAACAAAAAACAAAATTTGTTTAATTTACTGTTTGTATTTTGATAACGATTTCCGAAGTGGAAATTGAAACGTCAATAAACGTATTTTTATCTTTAATTGTGGCTTATTCCCAGTTTAATAGTAATTAATTTACTATTTAAATGTATAAGCCACAATTAAAGGTTAAAGTACGTTTATTGAAGTTTCAATTTCCACTTCGGAAATAGTTCTCAAAATATAAACATTAGTAAATTCAACAAATTTTGTTTTTTTGTTAAAAAGATAAAAACAAAAAAACAAAATTTGTTAAATTTACTACTGTTTGTACTTTCAGAACGATTTCCGAAGTGGAAATTGAAACGTCAATAAACGTACTTTAACCTTTAATTGTGGCTTATTCCCATTTAAATAGTAATTATCATAAAATCAAATGGAACTAGAGTTCAAGTGCATTAATTTGTCCGGAAATCTATTAATTAAACTTACCTAAAATACCAAGCCGCTAACAGTATAATACTAATAAAGCCAAACAGGAAATTTCCTAAGTCCCAATCCCTATTTTGATTATTGTTATTGTTGGCCGAACCATTTGTATTTGGAAAAGAATATCCTTCTCTTCTGCTTTCGGTACCACTAGACCGATTCGGTTGAGCCCTCTTTTGGTGTATCAAACAATGGACGACACAATTATCAAACAGTCCACAATTTTTCAAGGTTTGCGTATCTGGTTGAAGGACCTGCCCATTGAATATTAACCGTATCAATTTATTTGAGGATAATTCTGGCACGAAATTTCTCCTAAAATTTATAATATCATTAGTTTAGTATTTATCATTTATAATATCATTTTATTTCTCCTAAAATTTATAATATTTAGTTATCATTAGCAAATTACAAAGTAATAAAAATATAACTTTCAATACTTTAGTAAACCATACTTGAATAATGTCGTCAAGTAAACTAAATCAAAATTTTGAGTACCATAAAAGGTATATATTTCCTACTGATTTATTAAACATTAGTTAAATTAAGTATAAGACACTAGATTCTAAGCTCAGCGGTAAAACAAAAAATAACAACCAGAGAAAAATTACAAGGAATAATGGGACGATGATATTGTAAAACATTTTAAGATAGGACGTCTGAGGTGGATAGGACATGTAATGCGAATGGGACAAAATGACCCAGCTAGAAAAACGCTCCCTGCTAGACCCAATGGTTAGAGAAGAAGAGGAAGACTCAGAACAAGGTTCCTTGATAACATCGATGAATTGCACCTCTTCTGGTGCGAACGTTTATTATATATTATCTATTATTTACTGTAAGCCCGACTGGTAATTTCTAGGTGCCTTTGATATATCTTTTCGAGCAAAGTTAAAATTATACCATCGATTCCAAAAAAACTACTATGACGAAGTCACTTTTGAAATCAGAGCATCAAAAATATTTAAAATTTGTTATTCCTCAAGCACCAAATTTTTTCATTTGGTTGGGCTGTGTTATCATTCCTGTTAAAGTTAATCGTTTACTTTGGATTCCAGTTCTTCTCTGTCTACACATTATATGAATGAAAACTCATTTCATAAACTAGATCTAATGTATTATTTTTATTATTATAAGTAGAAATATACTATTCTATTGTTACAATATAAAGTGAGCAGCAAGGAAACATATTTTCTTACGCTCCGCCTATGATTGATTTCAAAATTTCTGAGAATGCATGATAGACACGTGATTTCGGCTACTTTTGAGCACTTAAGACGCGTGATTTGTAATTCATAGTTTTATTTAATATTTGCCAGACTATAAGTACTTCGAATGTGCGTATATTTGTTAAATTGGTCTAGTGTAGAAATTAAGTGCTTTGACCTAAAGTGTAGGTGTAGTTGTCTGACATAAAGAGTGCTTCAATTGTATATATGTACCTGTTAAGTACGGACCTGCTCGCGCATATTGAAGTTTAAACACTACCAATTGTGCGACTACGTCCCGATCCACTCTGATCGAACAAAACGCGCTCCATCGACAGAGGGATGCTGACGCCAAGATGAACGAAGAGACATGACACCTCCGCTTCGATGAAGATGCATTTAAATTACATTTAAGTTATTATTACAGTTTGTTCTTTTTATAGTGTTTGTTCAATAAAATTACGTGAAATTCTCAAAATCCTTCACTACAAACTCCTCCAGTACCACCATAGGTCATCTTGCCAGGCGTTTCTGGAATTTGGTGCTAAGTGGAACATAAGTTATCAGGCATTTAGTTTTGTATGTATGTATATATATATATATATATATATATATATATATATATATATATATATATATCGCCTGAACTTATGTTTATATGTTCATTGAATTTTGACATATTTTGACATATTTTGCATAGTTGCCCGTATTATACTGGACATATTTCCACGATTTCTTTCCACATGTAAACTGGAATGATTCCTGAAGAAATATAACACCAGGTCTTAAACCACGTAATCGATAGTGGTAGCCAGTATTTAATGGTGATAAATACTCTGTGGGAAGTAAAAGAGTAGATATTGGTATCTGCACCCCCTTAAAACTCTTCTGGCCATAGAGTTTTCATTTTATTTAGTTTATCACGTTGTTCTTCTTGGTTACCTTCTTCGCCAGTGATTTCCTCCCCTTATGGACTTATGAACACATCCCTGGATAACTCCGCTAGTTTTGTTGTAACCATTTTGTTAATTGTTTCATAACATGTTCATTAGCCCTATTCTAATTTTAGTTTTATTTATAAGTAGTACCTTTTGTGTTTGTGTGTGTATTTGTTTACGGGTTTGATTTATTTTTCCTTCGTTTATTATTAATTTCTCTTGTTGCATATACCATTGATTAGTACTGCAGCAAATTTGTAGGTTTGGAGTTGTCGTCTACTTTAGGCGTGAGCTGTGGAGCAAATTTGCCTGGCGCCCAGTTAACATCCATTGAACTTAAAAAAAGTCTCAAAGAATCCTCCAATCTCTACTTTGTTGTCATCCGACAGACGGTTTAGCAACGTAGCGCGGCGAGTTGTTACAAAGTATAAACAAAAGGTAGCAAAGCGCGCTGTAGCTACTGCTAAGGAAAGGTCGCCTGCAAAGCTTTAACAAGAGTTGGAAACACCCGAAGATATGAAAATATTATATAGCATTGCTAAAGCAAACGACAAGCCATCTTGAAGGTGCGGCAGATTAAGAGTGCGGTTGGAAGAGTGTTAAGACCCGATGTTAAAATAAAGCAAAGATGGTATGAGCACTTTAGAAAGTTGTTAAATGAAGAACAGCACGAGAGACAAGAGGATGCAGGACCCCAAATGAGAATGTAAAACCGGGGATAACGATAGATGAGATTGTTGAGGTTTTAAATGGATGAAGAATGGTAAGGCAGTAGGACCTGATGGAATATCTGTGGAGGTTTGGAAGTTTTTAGTGGTAAATTATAAGTAGAATATAATAGAAGAGGAAGAAAGGATGCTCGATGTATGAGAGGGAGAGCATGATGGTATCACTGTATAAAGATAAAAGAGACATGTAAAAACTATAGAGAGATAAAGTTAATGTCATACACAACTGGGAGACATCGATAGGGAGTATACACCAAAGTAAGGACCTGTGTCGGATGGACCGAAAGATTTCCAGTGACGGTTGTTTTGCATCAAGACTCTTCACTGAGTCTCTACCAGTTCAATATTGTTATGGATGTACTGACATAGAGGGTACGAAAAGGGCTACTTGGTCCACAAGCTCCTTGTGGATGATAATTGCGAAATTGCCCACAGCATACAGGCTGGTTGCTTTGGGTACTCTGTGATCGAAGAATAGGGGAAGGGCTGAAAAGAAAGATGTACAAGAGTGTGGTGAGGCTGGCTTTGTTGTACGATGGTATAGTGTGGCATGTAAACAGGGTCCAGGAAAAGAAGATAGAGGTAGCTAAAATGAAAATGTTACGGTGGGTGTTGGGTAAAACTAGGAACGATGTGATTAGGGAAGGAGCCGGGGTGGCTACAGTCTCAAAAAAGGTTCAATAACATAAACTGATCAAAAAAAACTGGATCAAGGATATCTGAAGGATTTAAGGTTACGAAAGGACTAAAGCAGGGTTGCTGTAATTTCGCCTACCCTTTACAAAATTTATCTGGAACAAGCACTCAAGCTGCGGAAAAGAAAATGTAATGGCATGGGAATCCCTCTCAATAACGAGACTACACTGTACACCTTATGTTTCGCTGATGACCAAATCCTGATTGCTCAGGATCATGACGACTTGAGTTACATAACTCGGAAGCTAATAGAAGAATATAACAAATGGAGTCTCGAAGTCAACATTAAGAAAACTGAAGCCATGTGTATTGGAGGGACAAAACAGTCCATTATATTAGACGATGGAGTAGAAACATACAGGGTAGAAAAGCCATATCCATGATGAACGGGATTCTGTGGGACCAAACAATATCTAAAGCAAACAAACAACTCATATAGAACACCATACTTAAAAGTGTAATCACATATGGCAGTGAAGTTTGGCCAATGAAACAAAGAACAGAGAAACTGTTACTAGACACAGAAATGGACTTCTGGAGAAGATCGGATACCAAATGAGAGAATACGAGAAATGATGGGAGTCAAGCATACAATAGTTGATGACATAAAAACAAAACAGTTAATATGGTACGGCCATGTACAGAGAATGCCAGATGACAGGATTCCAAAACAGATTTTGACGTGGACACCACAAGGGAGAAGGAAAAGAGGAAGGCCGAGAAGAAGCTGGAGAGATGGAATTGAAAAAGAACTAGAGGAAAGAGAAATCCCTCCAGGCCTATGGCTGAATAGAGAAAAATGGCGGTTAGGAGTCGGAAGGCGTCGGAGAACGCTGTAAACCGATAGTAGTAGTAGTAGTAACATAAACTGAAATTCTTAGGCTGTGAGAGACGTAGAAATGTGAGAAGAAAGATAGAGCTGTTAGTTGAGGAAAAGAGATTTAGACTTGAGACATGAGAGACAAAGACTTGAGAAAGAAAGGTTTAAATGAAGAAGAAATGGTGGAGAGAAATGAGTGGCGAAAAAGGGTAGGGAACAAACTGAACTGAAAAGTGAAAAGCCGAGGAAGAAGAAAAAGGCTGAATAATGAAAGATAGTAAAGTGATAAGCGGTGTTCGAAATATGAATCTGGGTGATAACTAAGAAAAATAAAAGGAAATCTGCACCGAATCTTCATGATATGCAACGGACTGGAAAAGAAATAATATATACATGCAGATGTCGATGCTGTATGTCCTCGATGGGTATATTAACTAATTTTAGCAAAACTTAACATGGATAATGCAAAAAGTTACATCAGGTTAAATTAATCATTTTATTAATTTCACTCGAAATGTCATTAGAGTTTTTTTATTTTTCTATTATTCACTTACTTTTTAAATTCTCCAAGAGATTCGTTTAAATTTCCTTCAACTAATTTTAGATCGTCGTTTATGTATTTTAATTTCACTGTTATTCTTGTATTGCTAGTAGTATCCTCACTTTTAGGTGGAGCACTTTCTTCCGGTGGAGGGGCACTAGGCTCTACATCTGAAGAAGAACTAGAGTTTTGTGGCGAATTAGTATTTTGTCTAAACGATTCTGTTTGGGAACTAGTGGGTTCTGAAACATTTTTTTAATTATTCGGGAAGTACATGACTATGAATATTTTATTAGCAAATTAGAAATAATATAAAGATACTAAGTGACATAGAAATTCGAACTATTATAAATTATTATATTTTGAAAATATCTTGTACAATTGTACAGGGTAGCAAAATAAAGAAACGATTAAAATTTCAATATGATTGAAACAACTTACAGGGATAAACAAATTATTAATTATGTGTTGTTGGTCGCTTCTGATTATGTGGTCAATATCCTCCTGGGGTATCTCGTTACATGCCCTCACTAACTCCTCCCAAAGCTTGAGGGGGATGCTCTAAATTAAGAAGTCTCCTACCCCTCACGTTCCACACGTGTTCAATCGGGTTTAAATCTGGGGATCTCAGGGGGCCAAGGCAAAAAATTGACTCCAGCCTGTACAAAGAAAGTCCATGGTGCCTCTCTCAATGTGTGGCCTTACGTTACCTTGCATTGAAAAATTTTATGTTAGAGCGTCTGGTCCAAAGCCAATTATTCTCCGCACCATTCAAGAGGATTACACCGATGTTTAGGGGTAAGAGGTAGCACCCAGTGGGCAGAAATGAAAAAAGGCGTAAATTGCGAATTCGATGATAAATTGTTCGTCTCCCAATTGGTCTTCCATGTTCTGTAAATTATTGATTTGCAAAAGACATGGTAGTGGAGTAGCGATCTCTTAGATTAGAGCTATTAACCTTAGGTAACGATCTTGGCACTCTGTAATTCTTCTATCTTAACATCAAAACATCTTAACACAATATTTAAACTTCTGTGAACCTTTTTCATAAAACGGTCATCCAGTAGCTCTTGTTCGAGAAGATCATTCAGCATCATGAAGTCGCCTCCCAACTATCCACTCACTTATGTTTACATTTATAACTTATTGCAGATGATTTCGAAGAAAAACTGAGGTAATTGTTCGGTGTCTCACAGTACTGGTAACAAGAAAGCAGTCAGCTGTTGTAGTTCTACTGCATCGCCACAAACCAGGTCATTTAATAAGCAGATCAGTCTTCGACAGACTTAGACCAATGCTTCTTGCAGTTTCGAGAGCGATCAAGATTAGTTCATTTGGTTTGGTAAGGTTAGCTCAATTCGGCCTTGATTAAATTAGCTTGATTCCGTTTTTGATCAGGTTCCGCGGTACCAAGATATCAACAAGTAAAATTGACCGATGACAAAAATGGCAACATTCGAACATGCATTTTATTTTAAATTTAAAATTTGCTTCACTTTCTCGTTACGAGAATACAAGGTTGTTGTGTTATATAGAGTGTTTATAACCAAATTATAACCAAACTCCAATGAAAATCATAACAAATTGAATGGCTCTGTATAATTGAAAAGGGGTGCAATAGCAACAACCTGTTGTAGCCATAGTTTTTAAATGATTGTCAAAATTAACTCTTTAAATCAAATACAGGGTACCTATGAAATAGATTATTTCATAACAGAAAAGAAATAATGAAGTACTGAACCAATTTTCAATAGCAAGCTACCACAGATTAATCCGAGCTAAGATACTATTAAATGTCAAATTGGAAAGAACAAAGATGATCTTAAAAACAAGAAAAAAGAAATGGATTCCCCCAGCAAACAACGACCTGTATATCGAGAAGTCTGCAGAATACAACAAAGCATTGGTACTGATATTGGTCGAAAAATATATTGGAACGAGCATGGTATCATCATAAATGGAGAGAAGCTCAGTCATTTGAGATTTGCAGATGACATGGTCCTTATAGCCGATCCTATTTATGATGCAATAATGTTTGAAAAATTATATCGCACTTCCTTGGAGGTCGGACTAAAGATTAATATGAACAAGACGCAAATATTGACTAATCTGGTGCTCCATCGAAATTTTGCTGTTGATGGAAGGGATATTGTGTAGACTACATCATAAAAGTACTTAGGACATGAAATTCGATTGGGCATAAATAACCAGACATGTGAGCTCCCACGTCGCATAGGGTAAGCCTGGGCAGCGTTTGGTAAATTAAACTTTTTATTCAAATCTGATCTACCCATCTGCCTCAAAAGGAAAATCTTTGACCAATGTGTGTTACTGTACTCGCTTATGGAGCGGAAACACTAATGCTCACAAAAAAGGTGGTGAATGAGATTCGCGTGACTCAAAGGGCTATGGAGCGCCAGTCTCTGAGAGACCGAATCCCAAACGAGGAAAGAAGTCGTAGAACAGAAACAACAGACGCCATCGAAAAAATCGCGTCGCTAAAATGGAATTGGGCAGGACACATCGCCAGATTATAAGACAACCGATGGACAAAACGTATTTTTGAGACCAAGCCAAGAAGCAATACGGAGCAGAGGATGCCCACCAACTAGATGGACTGACGACTTGAAGCTTGTTAGCAATAACTGGATGCAAGCCGCACTAGACAGAGACATATGGAAAGAGCTGAGGGAGACCTATGTTCCGCAGTGGACGCATACAGGTTGATGATGATGATGAACCATTTTATATTACCATCATAAAGTTAAGTCAATCTCATTTAATTTGTACCTTGTAAATGTACTAGTGAAAATATCTATTATCAGACTAATAGTATGTTATGGATGCGAGACATGGGTGATGACAGAAGACACAAAACGAAAGCTGGAAGTCTTTAAAAAAGTCCTAAGAAAGATATTTGGAACTATTAACGAAAAATGGAGCATGGAGATCCAGGTACAACCATGAAATTTATCAACTGTTCAAAGAGACAACGATCTCAGAATTCGTTAAACTTCAGACACTTCGATGGGCTGGTTATGTAGTGAGAATGGAGACTAAAAGATCGCCAAAAAGATCCCTAGATAGTAAAATGAAGGGCTCAAGACCAAAAGGAAGGCCACGAAAAAGGTGGTAAGATGAAGCGGCTGCGGACGAGCAAAATTTGCTAGACGTGAGAACCTGGAAAAGATCGGCGCGGGATCGGCAACTTTGGAAGCATAGTTTGGAGGAGACCAAGACTCGATTTGTGCTGTAGCGCCATTGAAGAGAGAGAGAAATGTACTAGCGTAAATATCTTGAAGCAACACACAAACAAAATAAAAATTAAATAAATAAATTGTTATTTTCAGTGTATGTGTTCAACAAGAGTTAATATCACTAAAATCAAGATTGCTATGAAGGTATGTTTCACAAAATGACAATTCACTTTTAAATTAAATTGTTTTGATATTGTCTCAAAGGCTATAGCGGGATAAGATGGTCAAAATTGCACCATGCTCGATTTAGTTTTGGGCCTGGCCATTCGAACGGACATAATTAAAAACTCACTCAGTTAAATTTTCAAGTCCTTAAGTGCCTCTGGGGGTTCGCTATGGGAAAAAACGTATTTAAATTTTTTTTTTAAACGCTGTATTGCTGCAAAAAATCTGAAAAAATTCATGAAAGCGTAGTTAAATAATACAATACTACCTGATTTTTTTCAGATTTTTAGCTTGAAAATTGAGCGAAGGAAAAATATTTGAAATTTTCAGTAATATTTTAGGTTATGTCGGAAATTTTTGACCAACTTTAAAACAATGTTTTTTTATGGTTTTTTTCCCGTTCTTTCGAATGGAATAGGTATTATTATCATTTTCAAAATGTGGAAAATGCCTAAAAATCGAAAAAACTGCTTTTTTGGCATTTTCTGAAGCACCCCCACCCCTTAACAATAAATTGTATGGGCCTAGAAACAAAACAAAAAAAAATAAGTATTACATAGAAAATAAAAAATTTATTTATACTGCCATAAGATACAATAATATCAGTTTTTATAAAAATAAAAAAAAATATTAATAAAATAAACATAAATTAGGTTTTTTAGTGAGATGGATGACTCATAACATTAACAACATACATCTAAATTAATGATAATTCATATTTTTATATATATTCTTACCTTTACAATCGAAACAAGCTATTAAAACTATTATTTTTTTTCCTACAGCATGCTAAAAAAAAACTAAAAACCCCGTTTTTTCGACGTTGTTTTTAAGCTTTCGCTATATAACCTCTAAAGTCAGTGTCTAAATGAATGGTAATTTACATTTTTATTTTACATGGTTTAAATTTTTAAAACCTTTGTTCCAAACGTTTAAAACTTTGTTTAAAGTAACAAAGTTTATTATCAAATATATATCTATTTCAGTAACAAGAGTAGTAATAATACAAAATTAGCAATGAAATAAGTGAATTTAAACTACAAGATGTTCTCTAGTATAATACTTTATATATATTTTTTTAAAGCGGTAATCCAAACACCCAGAATTAGTATTAAAGATTTACTTATAAATTTACTTTGTTACACAGTTGATTCAGTCAAAAATTCAGAAAGATGTAGCAAGAGCTATTCAGCAGAACGTCGAAACGCAGTGTAAATAAAAATACAGCATTGGCTTTCGTGAACCTCCATATGATGTTTACTTTACTATTAACCTCCGACCAATAAATAAACACAATGCATAGGGTCGACGTTATAGTAAAAAAAAAAGAATTTGTTGCTTCACAATATAAAACAATAATACTGGTTATTGTTGCCTGTTATTTTAGACACGACACAATTCTGCTGTCAAATTCAAAATAAACACAAAAACAGAGAGCTATTCAACATTTGAGGAAAAGCCCCGCCGAAATGATAAAGGCCCTCACACGCAAACTGACTAAGAGCGATACAGAGGATATAGCCCTACACACGCAAACGCACTAAGAGCAATATATAATGCGAGCCTGATTATATCATATATACATGGCGTTGGTAGTTGCGCCGCCTAATATCAACTACTTTGCCTGCGAAATTTACGCCAATGGTTTAATATACATGGCGTTGGTAGTTGCGCCGCCTAATATCAACTACCGTGCGGCGTAACTATCAACACCATGTTCTCTGTTACAATCAGGCTCCCTGGATATGCGGGATGTCGGGCTAAGACATGAAGGCCAAAACAGTTAAGTACATATAAAATATAAAATAAAATAAAATAATATAAGCATGGGTATAAGGCTCTTGTATCTAAGTGGAAGAGTATGGCATGGTACGAGCTTAAGAATGTATATAACAAGGATCTCAAAAGTAATGTAACTATATAGATATGCGTTTGTGTATAAATGCATGTACTTTGTGATATACTATCACGTATATATGTAGATATATTCGCTAGCTTATAATTCCACAACTTATGAGTGTACAAGTGCGTTCTAATTCACGATTCATTTTTCAGAGTCTTTTGAGGTTATGTAGTAAAAACATGGAAAAATTGGGGTTTTTCGTTTTTTCAGAATGTGAGATAAAACTAATGCTTTGAATAGCTGATTTTGATTGTAAAGGAAAAGATACATGTGAAAATATAAATTACCATTCATTTAGACACTGAATTTAGAGATTATATAGCGAAAGCTTAAAAACAACGCCAAAAAAACGGGGTTTTTCGTTTTTTTTAGCATGCTGTAGGAAAAAAAATAATAGTTTTAATAGCTTATTTCCATTGTAAAGGTAAGAATACATATAAAAATATGAATTATCATTAATTTAGGTGTATGTTGTTAAGGTTATGAGTCATCCATCTCACTAAAAAACCTAATTTATGTTTATTTTATTAATAATTTTTTTATTTTATAAAAACTGACATTATTGTATTTTATGGCAGTATAAATAAAGTTTTTGTTTTCTATGTAATAGTTATTTGTTTTTGTTTTGTTCCTGGGCCCATACAATTTATTGGGGGTGGGTGTGCTTCAGAAAAATGCCAAAAAAAGCAGTTTTTAGATTTTTAGACATTTTCCACGTTGAAAATGATAATAATACCTATGCCATTCGAAAGAACGGGAAAAAACCCATAAAAAAACATTGTTTTAAAGTTGGCCAAAAATTTCCGACATAACCTAAAATATTACTGAAAATTTCAAATATTTTTCCTTGGCTCAATTTTCAAGCTAAAAATCTGAAAAAAATCAGGTAGTATTGTATTATTAAACTACGCTTTCATGAATTTTTTCAGATTTTTTATAGCAATACAGCGTCTAAAAAATTTTTTTTTGTTAAATACGTTTTTTCCCATAGCGAAACCCCAGAGGCACCTAAGGACTTGAAAATTTAACTGAGTGAGTTTTTAATTATGTCCTTTCGAATGGCCAGGCCCAAAACTGAATCGAGCATGGTGCAATTTTGACCATCTTATCCCGCTATAGCCTTTTAATTATTTTATGACAGTCAACAATGAATTTTGAAAGCGAAGAACTTGTAGACATGGTATGAATATTAGGTAAATACAATAAGAATTGTTTACTTGCAGCAATAGTCTATCATGGACCATACCTAGATTGTCAGCAACCGAATAAGAGAGCATTTCAAAATGAAAATTCTCTCATGACACCCATAGCACATCCAGTGACATGAAGAATTGACTAAGCATGATTTTGAAAGAAGGGTGGCTTTATTTGAATGGAAAAAACAACACAAAAATAATCTCCTTTGTTAACGCGTTTGATAATTTCATCCATGATCAAATTGAAGAGTATGGAGCTCAATGAATCCTCTTGTCTTACTTCGCTGCCTATTTCTATAGGTTCTGTAAGTTGTCCATCTATTCTGACTTTCATTTTGTTGTTTTGATAGGTGTTTTCGATAGTTTTTATAATATTTAGGGGAACTTCTCTATTATACAAAAGATGGATTACATCTTTGAGTCTTACTCTGTCAAACGTTTTCTTTAGATCAATTAGACACAGAAATGCTAGTCGATTATTATTTTTTTATAGCCCTTTTTCTATCCGAATTGTCGAATAATGGCCTTTCCCATTTCTCGCCATTTATCCCTGTTGTATGCTAGGCGTTTCCACATTGGTCCTGCGACTCTTTTGATTTCGTCGCTCCAGCGCATTTGAGGTCTTCCTCTTGGTCTCTTGGCATCGTACGGTCGCCAGTTTCCAACTTCTTTGTTCCATCTACCATCTTCGAGATGTTCGTTGTGTCCAGCCCATTTCCATTTTAATTTAGCTGCTTGTTTCGCGGCGTCCTTTATTTTTGTTTTGTTCCGGATTGCTTCGTTCGTTTGCCGATCTATTAGTGAGATACCAAGCATCTGTCGTCCCATGGCTCGCTGAGTTTTTCGAATCTTGTTCATGTACTTTTTTGTGAATGTCCAGGTTTGAGCTCCGTAAGTGAGAACGAGAAGGATACAAGAATCGAACACTTTGGTTCGAAGGTTTTGGGGTATCTTTTTGTCTTTCTATTAGCCTAGTCTATTATACTCTAGTGATTTCTCAGTAATTTTTTAGCACTTGTAAAATTTTAGTTATAAGTTTTAGCGTAGTATTTAAAAGTTTATACCTCTGTAGTTTTCTGGCTAGTTTTTATCTCCTTTTTTGAATACATAATACAATTAGTTCGCTCGTTCTCCATTCTTCCGGTATTTTATTGTGTTTTATAATATCATTAATTAATGTTGTTAATTGTTCTGTCATTGCTGCTCCACAATATTTCAGTAATTAGTTTGGTATTCCGTCTTTACCTGCTGCTTTTCTGTTCTTCAGGTTTTCAAGTATTTTTAGATCGTACGACTCCATACTACCGAATTATGAAAAGTTAAACTACGTGGTTCTCAAACGTTTAAGGTCTTATCTTGGGTAATTATATAATAGGTCCTTTCTTATCTGAGAAAACAGTAAACGGAAAGGTTTATTTACTTACTGCGAGGGTGGATTGATATAAAACTAGCCTTTGATAGAAAGGCTAGTTTTTTGGAACTCAATCGATTTATTTCTCAACATAGTCCCCTTTTAGCTTGATACACTTAGTAAGACGATGTTCCAATTTTTTTATCCCATCCGAATAGTACTTTTGCTCAAGCTCTTCAAAACAGGCCGAAGTTTCAACTAATTCGTAGCCCATGTTGTGTAATTTTGCCATCGCGACGGCCAATCGATGAGCCGGTGCATTGTCTTGGTGAAAGAGCACTTTTTTGCGTTCCAAACCGGGGCGTTTTCGACATCGAAATTCGGCATCGAATCGATCCAATAATGCTGCTTAGTACTCACCATTGATTGTTTTTCCTTTTTCCTTTTTTCCTCGTCACGTTTGCGCCACTGTTTCGACTGTTCTTTAGTTTCCGGTGTATAATAATGCACACGGTGATAAATCGGCGAAAAAAAAATCCTTCGGATCGCACCGTATCATCGCCAAAATCGTCTCCGAAGTGGTCACACGTTTTTGCATTTGATTATCAGCAAACGCGGCACCCGTTGCGCGGATAGCTTTTTATGTCCAAATGATGGTGAATGATGTGTACGCGTTCGTAAGAAATGCTTAGGACCTCTATTAACTCGAGGAGTTTAATTCGACGATCTGCCATAATCATGTCATTGACTTTGTTGATCATTTCCGGCGTGGTGACTTCATTTGGCCTCCCGGGACGCTCATCATCAAAGACACTCGTACGACCATAAACAAATCCAGCTTTCCAAAATTTTACTGTTGCTAACGAAGGTGCAACCTCACCATAAACTTCATCCAGGTCGGCTTTGATTTGCACATTCGTTTTACCCTTTTTGTGGAGGAACAATCACCGAACGATACTCGACTTTTTCCATTTCTCCGAAAACACAAAATTTACTTGCTTTTGACGACTGTAAAAACCAAACTAATTGTTTTTAAAACTTAAAATTTTGATAGACGTCATGTCATAAATGACAAATGTCAACACTGAAACCAATTTGGTATCAAGTAGCGCCATCTATCAAAGGCTAGTTTAATATCAATCTATTTTCGTACTACAGTAAACTTTTTAGTAAATCATTTACCTATTTTTCTTGAAAACATACCACTTAACATCCGCCAATAATTATCTTCGTATCCGTATTTATATGAAGGAGATTCCTCTCATCATATTGCACTTGAAATGCACAAGGTGAAATAAATGAGCAATTTCTAACACATGGATAGGAAGAGAATGGAAAATAGGAGTCATTTGGCTGCTAGATCATCAGAATTAAGTCAAGTCGACTTATTCTTCTGGGGCTATTTTAAAGATCTAGTGCACCGTGAACTTCCAACAACAACTGATGACATAACGCAAAGTGAAGCGAATTTTAAATTTAAAATAAAATACAGTGTGTTTCATTAAAAAAAACATATGTTTAATCGGTTCATTAAGTTATTGAAGACCCTGTACATTTGTAATTAATGTTAAAATGAGAAGCTTACAGATACCTCCAATTTTTGTAAATAACTTTTTTAGATATCTCCTATTTGATCAAAAGTTGATCAACCTGTATATACATTCAAAGGATCCAAATTTTACTTAATAAGAATAAGAAAGAAAAGAATAAGAATACTGTAATGTATTTACCTTGATTTTCATTTGAAAAACCAGTATAAAAAGCTAATCTTCTTTGTCTAACGATATTAGCATCAGCATCCATGGTTTCAATGATACTTTCTTCTTCTTCGCCTCGACTATCTTCTAATATAGTACTGGGAATTTCAGGAGCAATTAAATCTTCTTCTGATCTAGGCTCAGGGGGTTTATTGCCATTTGGAGCTCGAGCTCGAGCTAATACTGCATCTGTTTCAGCGGAAAGATCAGGTGTATTTTCTTCAGTCTGAGAAGTACTACTCGATCCTATAACATAAATATCAGATAGTTGCTAAATACATAAATAATAAATTTTATACTAAGTAATACACTGCGCATCACGAAAAAGAGGCCACCTAGAATTTTGTAAGATTTTTTCAATAACTTTAATTTTATTGGCGACGTGCAAGTACTTGGATGTGATTGTGATACGAGAAACGATCGTGCGCGAGTAGCGGAGAAATCTTGCATTTTTTACTGCACATTTCATAGATTTCATAAATTCATATTGTCAATTGTCATGTTTCATATTCGGTTGTTTATTTACACCTTCTGTCACTGAAGAAAACGAGATTTTGGAAATGCTGTGTTATAAATTGTAAAAATACAACAAAAAATTGTCAATTTAAGTTTTATTCGTTTCTAACTTCGAAGCACAAATTACTACGACCGTAGTACCTACGAACGAAGAGAAAAGTGGATTTATATCATAAAAAAGCATAAGTAACATAACCTATATTATACATTATTCTTGCGCTCGATTTTAATGTCAATTTGAAATAAATAATAAATAAAAGTTCACTTTTAAGTGTAAATTTTAGTTTCATAATACTCACTTGCAGATGGTGCAATACTTGGTGATTTACTTTCTCAAATCCAGTTTTTATTATTGCATCCATATTAACAGTAATGCTGTAATTTAATAATATATTTATTTGTATTTACACTACGTACAACGTTTACCTTTTAATATCATACTGACTGTCCGACATAACCTCAATCTTACTTTTTCTTCTTATTCTTTTTTGGGGCTACGTCCTTGACAGTTATCCGGTAACCTCGATCTAACATGAAATCGCAGTAAATTTTGCTGATTTACGACACCAGGTGTCGCTGTTCCGAACTTGCACGGTCCCTATACAAATTATTTTATTGTAACTAAATTCCCACAATGCAGAAACACCTTTAGCGTCTTATAGGCACCGAAAAAGGGTGCCGATAGGTCAATTAAGGGTAATAAGTTTGCAGAATTAATATCAGTTTTACGACTTCGGATAATGCACGTGTTGTTTGTACCTTATTTTTCTTGGAATATGACTATTCTGTTCACCTGTTTGACCTTTCACCAGTGTACAGTTGTTCGAAGAGTACACTTGTGCAATTTTTAAATTAAAAACTATGGCTGAGAAATTTGCTAGATCTGTTCAAATTGTTACTTTGATTGGTAATGGAATGAGTCAAAGAGAAGTGGCCAGACAGCTTGGAGTCAGTCGTTGTACGGTCCAAAAAATTTACCAACGATTCCAACGACCAGGATCAGGCCCGAGAAGAATCACGTCGGCCAGAGAAGACAGTTCTTTACAATGCACTTCTTTGCAAAATCGGTTCTTTACGGCTAGATCAATCCAAAACCGTTTTCAAAATGCTTTCGGGTGGGCTTTAAGCACTTCTACCGTGAGAAGAAGATTGAGGAAATTTGGTCTAAGGGCTCGCTGTCCAGCAACAGGACCTTTGTTAACAGCAGCACATCGACAAAGCCGACTAAAGTTTGCTAGAGACCACGATCATTGGACGATAGAAGATTGGAAAAATGTTTTGTTTAGTGATGAGTCCAGGATGGTTCTTTATGGCTCAGATGGTCGCATCAAAACATACAGAAGACGTGGAGAACGATATGCTGATTGTATTCAACCAGTACTTGTTGCTTTTGGAGAAGGTTCGGTAATGTTTTGGGCAGGCATTTAATTCGAGGGCCGTAGACGAGCGTGTAATGCCTTTTGCTGGGTTTGTCCCCGAAAACTTTTGTTTTATTTAAACTATTTTTATGCAAGACAATACGCGGCCACACGTAGCCAGGAAGGCAACGCAATATTGGAAACTGCCGGTGTGTCAAATATGAACTGGTCGGCTCAAAGTCCAGATTTGATCCCGATTGAACATGTTTGGGACCAACTCAAACGACGGGTAAGAAACAGAATACCTGCTACAATAAATCGTGAGCAGCTTCGGTTGGCGCTCATGGAAGAAAAACGATAAAACTTTTCCTCAAAACGACATTAAGAAATTGATCAATTGAATGCCAAATCAAATGAGGAGTGCAATTCACGATAGAGGTGGTAACACACAGTATTAATAATCACGACTTAATTGTAATTTTATAAAGAAAACAGAAAAAATGTACAATGTTAATTTTTTTTAATTTTAAATAAAATTATTATTTTGGAAGAAGTTATTTTTTGACATTTGTTATTTAAAAAATTATTGCATACTGCTTTAGAACATATTCTTAAACATTACACAAACATCTAATGACATTCACTTTGTGATATGATTCGTAAAAATTAAAAAATGGCAAACATTTTAGGTGGCCTCTTTTTTGTGACCCGCAGTGTATTATAAGGTATTAGTAATCCCATCATTGATATCATGTTTTGCGATTTCCTAAATTTAAATAAACAAACAAACAAATCTATTTCCATATCAGTTTGTTTTTAAACTATTTTTGTCAATATGTTTGTGATACATTATCGAAACAACGACAGCGAAACATGTTATCAATATGGAAATGAAAATTATTTTTTCTAAGAATTTATTTATGATTAAAATTAAATAGCTGTTTCTAGGTTTCAATGGTCTCATAGAAACATCTCTTATATAGCATTTTTCATATAAAAATGCTTGCACTGCACGTCACAATTTATGTAAAGTGACGTCACTTATATTTAAAATTTCCGGAACGTCAACCTAGGAGTTCAAATTTTTCCTACACAGCTAATAATACGAAACCCATACGGAATTGCTCGATCTTTCATAGGCGTCAACATGGTGTAATAATCAGAAAAATATAATCATCATTATATTGGAAATTTTAGAATTATATTGATTATTAAATAACCAAAAAAATTTGTTATTATTAATAATATAACTTTTATAAAATAAGTCTTCAAGTCTAATATTCCACAAAATAATAATTATAATTAAATAGATTAGACAATTGTACGCAACTCATACGGAATTACTTCAAATTTTATTGACAGTTCAGCGTGTGGCAAAAGTGTATAAAGTGTTGCCGCTTTTTTAGAGTAAGAATATTGTTTATGTTTTGATTTCTTACACAATTTGATCATAATATAACATATATTAATAAATTGTATTTATAAATACATATTAAATTTAGATTAATAGCTTTAAAAACTAATTATTGATGTGTATTGTGATTGTGCTATGCCAAAACAAATAAATAGTCTGTAGAAAGCTGATAAGCTTTCATATAAGATTTTATACAAGAAATAATGGCGGGACGTTTTTACTATTAATGCTCCAAAAAAGTTTAAAATTTAGAATATATAATTTTGTGCTAAAATATTTTCTTTATTTTAGTGTGTTGCAGTAGTCTTAAAATTAAGTGTATTTACTGTTAATATAATAGTTTGACAAATAGTTGACATTTTAAAAATTCCTCACCTACTAACTATTCTGATGTTTTGCCAACGCTGTGGGATTCTGACGTCGTAAATCTTGAATGACGTGCAAGCATTTTTATATGAAAAATGCTATAGTAGTATAACGTTCTATTAAGCACATGTTTTCTTAAAATAAAATCTAGTTTTTGTCTTACTTTCTTAAAAAACTTCCTCACCACGAACAGAATATCTCAAGTAGCGGGTAATGACAAACTACACTAATAGTACAAGATTCCACTGCAATAACTACGTTCATAAGGAGTTAATAAAAACTCACATTTTGACATACATTTAACAATAATAGATAAAGAAAAAGAGAGCTAGCGCGCAACAACACTGGTTTGTCAAAGATTACATGTTATTACGTTGATTACAGTAAAATTTGCATTTTAGAAAAATGAAAATATATGTATATTATTATCATTATCTATCGACGCATGCGTAGTGGCTTTAAAACTCACAACTGACTACCTAAGTCTGACGTCACAATAGGCGGGGGTTTCAAAAACCTGTCCAAACATTTCTAATTTGTGTGTAATTGTCCCATAAGAAGTCCCATGAGTCTGTCTGTTTTTCAATGTGCCTCCAGTAAGTTGTTATTCCATCGTTTTAGTGGTGTTTTCATCTCTGCTGTTTCTAACATTCTTTTTGTCCTCAATGTGTCAGGTCGTGTTTCTGCCGCGTATGGCATTATTGGTGTGAAGGCTGCCTTGTAAATTCTGTCTTCCATTTCTTTCCCAGCATTTTTATTTCCCCATATTGTTTCATTCAGGCAACCTGAGGTTCTGTTTGCTCTATGCACTTGATCTTCCACTTCTGTTTCGAACTTTCCGTAGCTAGATAATGTGATGCCTAAATATTTAAACTCCATTACTACTTGTTCTATTATCTGATCTTCCAGCTCCAATTTACATCTTAGTAAATTTGCTGTATGGAATAACTATGCAGTTTGTCTTTTTGGGGAAATTAACATGTTAAATTTTCTGGCGATGATATAAATTGGTGCGGCATACCTTGTAAATCATCTTCAGTTTGAGAGAGTAGTATTGCGTCGTCAGCATAGTAGATTATTTTAAGTTGTTTTTCCCCATTTGGTATCCTTTTTAGATCTTTTACTTTTTTTATTATTTCATCCATAATCAGGATGAATAATAGAGGACTCAGGTAATCTTCTTGTCTTAACCCATTGCCAGCTTCAATTTGGTCAGTTAATTCTTCTACTTTTATTTTTATTGTATTGTTATGGTAGATAATTTAGATAGTTTTGATTATTCCTAAAGGTATCTCCCTTGCGTACAATAAGTGGATAACGTCCTTTAATTTGGCCAGGTTAAATGCCTTCTTAAGGTCCACGAAACATAGATATGCCGGTTTATTGTATTCTAATGATTTTTCTTGCACTTGCCTCATTATAAATATAGCGTCGGTGCATGATCTTCCCGACCTAAAACCTTGTTGTTCTTCTGCTAGTGTTGTGTTTAATAAATTAATTCTTCTTTGATTTTCCAGGTCCGATTTGTCTCCCTTTTTGAAGAGAGGTATTAGAATAATTGATCTGTATTCTTGAGGAATTCTGTTTTGTTCTATTATTTTTTGGATCTTTTTTTAGTAATTATTTGGTCAGATCTGGTCCCGATAAGACCACTAAGTGTTAGGCTAAATGACGATGAATCATACATTGAAAACAAATACTTTGAGACATTCCAGATATGCAAACATGCCTGAGATAATAAGCACAGAATGCAATGAAACGATGGTACTGCAGCCAGTTGGCTTATTGTACATCTTCCATTCATTCATGATATCCATTTCAGGATTCTAGAACCCTGTACCAGCTTATACAGGTTTAGTGTATAAGCACGATATATTTTTGGAGTCACTTGATTGTCTCTAAAAAATTGTTTGACATCTGTGATCTAATGTTTCAGATTCTCTGCTGCAGCGTAAGTCTCCATGAAATAGTCCCATTGTATACAGGTATCCCTTGACTCGCATGTAGTGTAAAGAAGCCTCTTATGGGGCTGAGCTGATTCCTTCAGCAGTACTTCAGCCCTATTAACACATATTCTTCTTCTTCTTCAAGTTCCATCTTCTATCAAAGGTTGGAAATCATCATTCACGGCCACGTCAACACATACGTCAATACATATTTCGCTGTGTTTAACCGGGTATATTTTCCCAGTGAGAGTATGTTGTCGTCGGCTCCAGGTTTTTTTTCGATCGCAGACGATGATTTTTAGCACTCCTACGGCCGGTTATGAACCAAGTACATACGCTTGCATGCAGTCTATCCAGCTGCAGGTTGATTTGTCTATTCATTTTAGACTAATCGGCCTTGTGATTACTTCGTATGAGGTATTGTCAAATGATCTTTCTATATCGAGAAATACGCCAACATCACCTCTTGGTTTTCCAGAAGGCACTCCACTCACTATACGAGATAGTGTAGAGCCGTTTCTTTAGAGACTCTCGATACACATACTATCTCTGATGTATCTGACTTTCTTCCAATGAACCATCTCTAATATAACTATCGAGCAGTTGTTCTAGAGTACAGTACGAATAACATCAGACTTGGCAGCTTCAGTGACTTAAGCTTTATCCTGTCAGATTTTTCCTGATTTGAGTACAAAGTCACCTTTATTGGCCTCCTTGCTTTTGGTACTCTAGTCTTAAGCTAGCCTGCAGTATCACACATATTTTTTTATACAGAAGGTCATTTCCCTTCAGTAGTATTGGCTCCGTTCAGCTCGCGGAGATAAGAATACGGCCGAGGCCAGAAGACCCTGCCTGTCGTAAGAGGCGACTAATGAGAAGGAAATGAGAGGTGGAGAGCCGTTGTACGAGGTGTCGGGTTTGTAGAAACGCACTCGGGATGCATATTCATCTCGGTCACCTGTTTACACTCCTAGTATCCGAGACGAGTATCTCGTGGGACCACTCTACTCTCATTCCACAAGAGCCAGGTGAGGTTGAACGAGCTGGGCCCGTAAATACCTCTCACGGCCTTACGCCACCGAGAGAGTGTCGGTGTCCCGGCACGTACCCACCTGGAATGGTTAAGAGTGGTAGGGAGTGATCCTCGGCAGCGACCTGTCTACATGCGAGGTAGAATTTCTCCGTCTGCGTCAACATGCCCCCCCAGGGGGGGGAGATCTTCGGACGTATGACGTACTTTTAACACAGGTACTACGGGTAAGGTGGAGCCCCATGATGTTTCGGCATCGTGCCGCCTTATTTGGTGTCGGACTCGTAGGGGCAGTAAAGTCGCTAACGGTCGTATGCCGAAAGACCAGATAGACCAAGGTTCTGCCAAATTTATATTTGGAGGGGCACAAACTCATACTATGTAGAAGTATTGGATAAACTCATCCGGACCCGTGAAAATGACGAACTTCATGGTTTTGCACAGAAGTAAAGGAAAATTGTGAGGAGAATAGCTTACCTGCAATACATATCAACGAAGACACAAGAAGCATACGATAATTACAAGACATTAGGAACCGAAACAGATGCACTTGTAAGAAGAATAAAAAATGATCACTGGGAACGTGTTTTAAAAAATGGAGCACAATGTTCATGGCCTACAAAATGACATATGGCGCTTTATAAGAGATCAAAGAACGAAGGTAAATGAACTAATAGACTCCAAACACATAGAAAAGAGTAATAGATTGATAGTCCAAAAAAGCCTTGTACGACAAATGAGACAAAAACAGGAAACACCAGAAATTACCACAAACGAAGAAGTTAATGTAAACACATATGAACTTTCCATAGAGGTATCAATCCACCCATGAATAAGCAGAATTGCTTACAAAAATGAGTAATAAGAAGAATAGGACATACTTAGCTACTTCACATTTTGGTGCAGTGAGCTTCACATCACCAAAACAGACTAACCTTTAATATCAAAGAAATAGAAAAAAGTGCAAATTCCAACCTTTAAGACCTAACAAATTTTTTACATGACATTACTACATATTAAGTATATAGATGAGACAGTTCTGTAACGTATTTTGTTCACATCCATAGAAATCTTTTTGGATTTTCCATTTTTATGTATATACGACACGTAATTCTGTATTGTAATTTGAATTGTTCTGATGGCAATGACCACGAACAGTCGATACACTTTAATTTAAATAAATAATTATTCTCGTTAACTAATCTGTCGAGGAAGATACAGTATAAAGGTTATTTTTACGGTCAGTCACAATATTACCTTGTGATACCATATTTTATAACAAGGTAAACATTCTTTTGATTTGAAAATGATTTATTTTATTTATTTACCTTTTCATGAACTGCTTATGAAAGGACAAATCTAAATTTGAAGGAAAAGCCCACTAATTGAATATAAAATATTCCTCCCATTTTCTATTCGTTTTGGTGAACATGTTCCGTTACTTTTGTATTCCTTAACAATTTTATTGACACTACGTCCATATGTTACGTGTCTTATGGGCCAGCGGCGAACACCTAAGTGCTTTAGTTTTTGATAAACCCATAACTCTCTGGCTACCGGTTAAATTTATTACCAAAATTTTCGTAATGAAAATCTATACAACTTTTCCAAGTAAAATTTTTTGATTTACCCTATACTATGGACATTTCCGCAAACAATGAGATGTATCCGAACTCTTAATTTTGACTATACAAAATGGCGATTTTTTTTTAAAAAAGCGTGTGCTACCCGACGGATATTTTTTTCTAATTAAAAATATGTGTTAAATTTTTTTTAATTTCCATTTCTAACCATGTGGTTCTATATCAAAAGTATCAGACTAAAAAAACATTTAGACCCCTGATCCAAACATAACCTCAAAAAAAATAAAACGTGTTTTTTCGTTTTTTGGCGATATCTTCTACATCAAAATGTACTCGATTAAAGAAATTTTTAGACCCTAGACTCAAATATAACCTAAAAGAAACTAAATCGTGTTTTTTCATTTTTTGACGATATCTTCTGTTGTAATCATCATAAAAACTTATTTTTTGTTTTCAGTTTGTAAGGTTTTTTATTGTCTACAAAATGGTATTTTTTACAAAAGATTTTCTTGCTGTACATGTTCCCATTCTTTATTCAACGCTATTTTCAGCACTTCTATCGTTTCAAGTAATAGTTGTGTATTTTTAATCTTTTAAAAGGACCCATAAATGTGATAATGGATTCGTGTCAGGACTACAAGTGGGCCCGTCCAAAAAGGGGAATTCCGACAGTTTTTAGGTAGTCTAGGATGATTCGTGCATTATGTGGACGCACATTATTCTGCAGAAATAAGAAATTATCCCCAACAAAAGGTTCGTAGTTAGCAACAACTGAAAACAACGATTTTGCAGGTGTCAAATGAGCACTGGAATAGCTGATTTACTGCTTGAATGTATGCAAAAGTGTATCGATCTTGGTGGGACATATTTTGAAAAGCAATAAAGTACCTACTTTAAGCCTATATATTTTTGGTTTTTATAGCTATATGCAAAACTAAATAGACAACCCTCGTATACTGTGTAAAAAATAAGATTGGTCAACATTATATTTCATATCTTGGAAAGCCACCTAAAAATTCTAAAATACCGCCAATTTTATAAATTATGCATAATGAAAGTACTTACCTTCAGTAATAGTAACAGATTCGGTATGGTTTGTTAATCTCCGATGGGCTCTGTGTCTTCTTCTTTCCAGTAACACTACAGTCCTAATATACCTTTGTTCAGATATGTTAGTAGTCCACCAAGCAACAGTTCCTGAAATAAATTGTTATAATCAAATGTATGCTAATTGAACAACAAATACCAAGTTTATCAAAATAACTATAATTAAATGTGCATATTTTGTTGAAACATTGTCTGCTTTCTTGTCTGCTATTTTGTAGGCATGTAGAATTTATTTTTAATACTCAACAGACAGTGTAGAGCTAAAATTAAATTAAAAAATAATTAAAAAATAAATCATTAGATAATTAAAAATATACATATCATCCATTAAAATGGCCCCCAGATGATACAACTTATCGTACATGTTGTAGAACAAGTCACTTCAACCATTTGAATAATAATCGCAAGGTGTGTGGTGTGGTAGCTCAACCTATTGTAAGATGCAATTGAATCGTACGGAATTATAGCATCCTTAAATATCTGTTGGACAACTCATTTGATATTGTGTAAACATAACTATTACATTCTTGAATGTCGTTATATGAATTTTCAGTCACCAAATATCTTAATCTAACAGTTTATTCTTTCCATGCAATAATTGCATCTCTAATGGCTGTATTTTGTTTTGTAATTGCTGGCTGTATTAACTATAAAAATGTTTGTATGAATCGTCGTCCCTTCGTAGGTAATTCTTGAAATCCAGTATTCTCTGATGCCAATTTCATTAATTAAATTCATATGTGAACAAATATGTTTTTGTGAACAAATATCATCCGAAAATAACTACTGCAGCAGCTGTTACCATTTTCAAAATGGATGGTGCCATGATGAACAATAAACTGAACTAGTTGTACAACCGATCCTTTGAAAATTTTTCATGTCTGTGCAATTCTTCCAAGCATGCTCACTGCTGGAGCTATGTTGTGATATATACGATAATATCTGTTGTTCCAAAGTAAGTTGTTTATCTATGTACAATCCAAGATAATTGGACAGTGTTATGCATCACAGTCTTGTTGGAATTCTCGGAAGGGGAAGAGTTATTTCTAAATCAAAGCAAAAGGTTTTCACTTCTGATTGATCTGTGCTTATCTTCATGTCTAGCTTTCTTCTAGATTATGCATTTTCAGCTTCTTCTAAGTGCACATTTTTGAACTTGTTTAATTTTTTGTTATCTGTGCAATTCTTAATTTCTAATTCGAAACAATCACATCTACTACAAGTATCTTTTTTTAACTTTTTTCTTTTAAGATTAAATCTTCTGAGCTCTTTGCGCTCCACGGGTGTAGTGTCAGTGTTTTGGTGTGATTTCCTCGGATTTTGCCCTGCACAATAAGTTGTAATAATGCATATTTTTGCCTCCTCATCACATGCCCTAAGTACTCAAGTTTTCGTCTTTTAATAGTTAATATTTTTTCTGCCTCATTTCCTATCCTTCTAGTTACTTCCACATTTGACATTCTTTGAATCCATGATATTCGTAGGATGCTTCTGTAACACCAAAATTCAAAGGCGGCCAACTTATTCAGATGGACTTGTTTTAGTGTCCACGCTTCCAAGCCATAAAGAAGAGTAGAGAACAAGTAACATCGAAGCATTCTCAGGCGTAGTTCTAACCTTATATCCTGACAATAAACTTTTTAGGTTTAATGAAAAGAAAGGCACTTGGTCTTTTTAAATATATCTGGTTAACCATTACTAACAGACTAGTGGGATTTATTCTGTAGATAGTGTATGCTATTTACCACCAGAAAGCGCCATAACCCACAATTTGAGAAAATGGTGCTTGGTCTAGTGATACATAACGCCGTCCAATTGTTATTGGCCTTTTTATTAAATATGAATTTCCCAAGGCTCAACTAAACATGCCTATGTGCATCTACATTTGAAATTATGTAACTATAATTATTCATATTAAGTGTGAGTTGGTGATACTCATATATTACAATCAACTTATTTTCTATGTCAGTCTTAAATTGTCTGGGATCCTATTAACATACAGAAAACCAATGCCATTAGCATAAAGATAACACCAAGGGTTGTGATAAATCAGATAATGAATTAATATAAATTAGCAATAGTGTTTGTCCAAATATATTGCCCTGAAGATCTCCACATTCAACATCTTCTACTGTGCTTAGCACATTGTTACATAACACCTTTGATATTCTGTATAACAGCAAAAACAACAGTGATTCACATATAATTTCTTGTGGCATTTACAATGTTACTCTAAATACTTCAAAAACATATCCACAATTAGTAGGACCTATATTCTTTAAACAGTTAATTTTGAATAAGAGATTAACTTGTTATGTAAACAAAAGGTTTGGATTTTTTTACACTTACTAGATTTTTTACATTGGAGACAGTCTAACAAATTATATTCATTAGCATTTACACTACTTTGATTAAAATAATCAAGACCAGTTAATTGATTTTAAAACTGTGTCTTCTTTAATTGCTAATTAATATCAATCCTGCGTTACATAGATGTTTATCTTAATATACTTACATATATTAAATTTAATATAATTTAAGAAATTCATATATCCAGTATACTACTTTAAAGATACTGATATTACCACTGTATTTACTATAATTGTAATAATATGATACATTAAGAAACAATAAAATAATTCAAACATTGAATGCAATATTAAATGTCTTTTAAATAAGTGAAAAGTGGAAGTACTTTCTCTTAAAATATAAGTTTATGAAGAATTATATACTCATAAAACATTGAGTTTTAAATCTTAACTATACAATAACTAAACTATTATTTTTTAATAAAGTATTGGATTATAATTTTATAAGTAAGATAAAGTTGTGATATTGAGTTAATTTCATAAATACAATCAAATCACATATTTATTATTACATTGTATTTAACAATTTTCTTAAATCACATAACAACAATAAAGTACTTAATAATCAAGATTCTTTAGCAGGCTCATTATTTCATTACCTGAAGCTCATCGGATATAAAAAGAATATCAAGGCTATCATACTGATAATTTTGCTTTAAATATTCTTATAATACCAAACCAAATAAAACTTGATACAAGGATATGCATTTATCTCTTGCAGAAAATTGTCATCACAAATATGTGGTGATACCGAAAAACGCATCATATTCATATTATTTCCAGCTGTAATTATAGAATCCAAAAAAGTCAAATATTGGAAATATTGTATAAAAAGTATTGAGACAAATTATTTTCAATATATTTACTTACCTATAACAATAACAAACAATGCAATAAAAAAATGTGTAACTTCGTCGCCTATCCCCTCAATAATGGTCATCTCGTTTTTAGATCACCTGATATAATTTTTTATTTATGATTCTAGAAAAATCCTTATGCCACTTTTTACTTGTCATCAATACCAACTGGAAACGATCATTATTCAGAATAATTACTATTTTGATTTTGATCTACCAACAGCTTGAAATAATAATAAAACACGTATATTTTAACCTTCATGAATTATTTATTTGATGTGACACTGACAGTCAATGACTGACAGTATAGACAGCCTTTGAAAGTAAATTAGTCTCGTGGGTTATCGATAGTCGCATCGATTCACAATTTCCAATCACTCGATTGTTAAGTTGCTATTTATTATTCTTTTATTATGGTTAAAAAAGAATATGTTCCAATAGATTCGATAACAATTATTCTAAATAACGATATATAAATATAGTATACGATAATAAACCATTTATTTATGTTGACAATTAAATAGGCTATTTTTGTAGTCTACTGAAAACTAATAAAGTTAAATAAAATGCTTTATATTTGTATATGAATACGTAACAATTGATATGATATAAATATATTGGTATAAAAATATGTAAAAAATGCCCATATTCCGTATTGTTATTAGAATAATTTACCCGAAGGGAAAATTCTCTTAGTCAAACGTGCTAGGACGTACAATCAAATCATTTCATAACGATTGTGCAAATTGAAATATAATATTTACATTTATACCTTTAATATTTAAAAGTTTTAGTTTAGTAAAATATATAAATCATTAATTTTAAACTTTCAACATTAATCGATATATCCGAGGGTTTTTCGTCAATGGACGATTGCCGTAACTTTCGATACATCTCGATCTTTTTGGTATTTGAAACGAAAGTATATACTGAGATGTAGACGATACATAATACATCAAAATTATTAATAAAATAATTACATAAGATGATTAGCATACGCAACCTTATATGAAAATCACAAAGAAATACTAGTGAAATAAAGGATAAACAATGAAACAGAAGCAAAAGAACAGAAGTCATAAAAGAAAAACGCTTTACAAGAACTACGTGTGGTACCAAGAGTATATTAGGGCAATAGTATTTCTATTTTAAAACATACTTTGTAAGAATAGTGTATCTAAATAAATTTGATTGTGTCAATACAATAAAAATTTTTGTAATCGAAATCTATCTTAAATTAACTTTAGAATTTTCATTGTTTCCAAAATTTTCTGTAAGTTTAAAACAACATATATTTCCAATTGGCTATTAAAATTTCAGTTAGATTAGTGGAAATGTCGGTACGATAGCCAAGCGAGCCAGGCGAACGAAGCGCACTCAGTTCACTGTAGGTAATTATTTATATATTTTTTAAACTGTCAAATGAATGACATGTATGTATGTAAACTGCAAATTCTTGAGGAACTAACGGAAGAAGATCCAGACAGACGGATCGAATATTATGAAATAACGACCACCACTCTTAGACAAGATCCCAATTATTTGATGCAAGTTTGCTTTAGTGATGAAGCTAATTTTTGTTTGAATGTTTTGTACTAAGTACATAAGATCAGTAGTTATGTACCGTAGCGAGACGTGGACGATAATAGGGGCAAACGAAAAGCGATTACGTGTTTAGGAAAGAAAACTCATAGTCCTAGTAGAGACCTTTGGACCGGAGCTTGATAGGGCAACAGGAAAATATAGGATAAGAAATAAAGAAAGAGCTGAAAGAACTTGGCAGACGCCAATATAGTTAAAAAATTAAAACAGAAGATTCCAGTAGTCAGGATACCTCAGGAGGTATTTTGACGAAAAAATAGTAATATAATAGATGGCAAAGAACAGACCAGTCCATCTAGCCTTTATTGACCTAAAAAGGCATAAGCTGTGCCCACACAACGACTGTGGGAAGACATGCAATAAATAGGAGTAGAAGATAAGCTGATACATGTAGTGAAGTCCATGTACACACATAATAATGTTACAGTCAAGGTAGGTAACAAGTTTGGAAAACCATTTAAAACCACGAAAGGTTTCCTACAGGACAGCTCGACGTCACCTACACTCTTTAAAATATTTCTTCAATACGCCCTAAAGCCATGGAAAAAGAAATGTGAGGGAATAGGAGTACCCATAAGTAACGACCATCTGTATACCCTCAGTTTTGCCGACGATCAGGTCATAATAGCACAAGACGAGGAAGATCTAAGTTATATAGTTCGAAAACTAGAAGAATATAATATAAATGGTCTGGAAATAAACATTAACAAAACAGAATATGTGAACACAACACAAGAACCAACAAGAAACCTGGAAGTGGATGACGGGCGTGAAATAAAGGGGACCGATAAATTTAAATACCTGGGGTTCATTATATCAAATAAAAGTACTACAGAAGAAGAAATTAAAAATCGAGTGGGTCAAACCAGAAATTCTATAAGACAACTGAATCCAATCCTATGGGACAGACACATAACAAAAAATAACAAAAAAGAATTCATAACACGATGATTCGCAGCATTCTAACATATGGTACAGAAAATTGGGTCTTAAACAAAAGCAGCAGAAATAAAATAAACGCCACAGAAATGGACTACTGGAGAAGAAGCTGCAGAGTTTCCAGAATGGACAAAATAACTAACGACGAAATCAAAAGACGAATGAAGAAAAAGAAGGACACCTTAAATTACATTGAAGAAAAAAGATTAACGTGGTACGGGCATGTCAGACAAACAGACCCAAACCGATGGATAGCAAAAATAACAGAGTGCAGCCCCATAGGAAAACGCAAAAGAGGCAGACCAAAAAGATGTTTCAGAGATGAGGTAGATGAAGCCATGGAAAGAAGAGGATTGGAAGACGGAGAATGGGAGGATAAAGAAGAATGAAGAAAATGGCTGAGAGAAGGGAGACAGCGACAGCCGTAGGAACCCCTTTCATATATATAAGAGTAATACTGGTATGGCAAGAATATCTCCGGTAACGAGATAAATTAGGAGACCTTAAAGCTATGGGAGTTGGAGATATGGAGAATTGGATGAAGATTACGACAGAAAGAAATATAGGCGTTATTAAGTCCCCTAAAACCCACGCAGAGTTGTAACGCCACTGAGTAAGTGATAATACTTTCCATCTCATCTTAAAGCCTTATTTTTTCAGAAGACGTTCTTTAGAAATCTCGACGTATAAGCTACTTTATTTGCTGGTTTTCTTACTCTCTCTTTAAAGTTTATGTAGTTGGATATTTATACTACCAAAGGCGAATCCCGAGACTTGTTCGATTATTTCGTCGTTAATTACAATTTTACATAATTTGGATTCTCTTTGGATTCTCAGTGAACTACAGAAAGCTTTACAGCTAGCAAGACCGAAAGTTTTAGATGCAGCGTTCGCCATTGCCTTGGAACACGAGACAGCTAATCGAGCTTCACGAAGCAATCAAGCACGAACCTCTGAAGAGAGCGACGAATAAAACGATAAATGTCTGGGAGAAATCGTACGGAAAGTAGTTCGTAACACGATGCCAAAGTGACGTGAACCTAGATGTTGAACTTTCTGTCTTAAATTATGAGAACGACTTTGCCCCGTGAGACATTAATAATCAATGGCAGCCTCAATAGCTACAAGACGCTCAAGCAGATGATCCATGTATAAACAGAGTATTGGACTAGATGCGTCGAAGTGAAAGACCTTCTTGGCAAGACATTAGTGCATGTTGTCCAGAAGTCAAGTGTAACTGGAGCCAATTGAATTGCCTAGTGCTAAAAGATGATCTTCTGTATAGAACCTATGAGAACTATGATGGTACAGAAACTGCTTGTGACGAATCCGCCGATATAATTGCTAGTTGTAACGTACCCTGATGTAGAACTATCATAAGTAAATTGCCTGTAATGTGATATTGTAAATTTATTTTTTGTATCATCGGAAGACTGTGTGATTTTTTTGTAGTGATTCGGTCACCAATTTTTGTAGTCAATTATGTCTTTATGGCATATTGTTGAAATCGTAAACGGCTTTAATTTGCAACAAGACAGCATCATCTTCTCGTAATCTTCTGGAAGATATATTCTATCGTATTTTCTTACCACTCTCTTCAAAATTCCAAAGTCCCTGTCTCACGGAAAAAAAGAATGACTACGTAATGGGAAGTAGTGAAAAATTTTACGAAACCGCTTTGAAGCTGCAAGAGCTAATAAAGATCTGACTACAGTGTTGTTTCGGTTTTGGCCAGGACAACTATCAGAAAATATGTGGAGCTCTTGAATCTCTACTGGCATTTTCTGTACATAATCATTAACAAACGTACATACCTCATTGGGGCCTTTCGCTGCTTGTCCTTCATGGTATGTATAAAAATGTCCAGTACCGTTTTTTTAAATCGTGTATTTCGAACACATATAGCCACAACTGTCTGTAATAAAACATTTCTTGAACAAGTATAACAGGCAAGGACATATTTTGAATATAGTCAAAAACTATTCCGCCAACATTTTCTCTTTCATGGCACAAGGTTAGAGATTTCCTTAAGTTTTGAGTAAAATTTGTTAGCTCTTCGTTTATGAACTACTAATTCGGCAGCGGCAACTTTCTTTGTGTTTTCGTTTAAATTCACATCTTTAAGTTTTGTGCCCAACTCTTCGCATTGTCCGCAAACATCAACTTGAGGCCGCCCAAATTTCAATACAAAATTTTCTTTAAAAATGTTTAAATAAAATTCATATTTTATTGTTCTTACTAAGTCTGGGTGTAGTTTTATAAGTAGATTATACATAATCTTAACGTTAAAGGTGGAATCAAGATAGGTGATGAGTTTTGAACTGTAGTGAGATGTTTTTTGAGGAAACGATTCAATATGTTGATGAATTTTTGCAAGAACCTCAGGCCGTAAAGTATGTGGTCAATTATTATGTCTACCACGTAGATCTCTAGGAGAACTTTGAGAAACAAACAATCTATTTAGTCGTTGTAGTCCAGAGTTCGAGATCGAATGCAGAGTAGCAGTAGTAGTCTTTCGTATGTAATATGAAAACGTGACTTCTCGGGTTTTTTCCTCAGCTTCTCTCCTTGTTTTATAGTTACATGTCTACATTTCATTAATCCTTGCAAATAGACATCTTGTTCGTCTTTTGAACCTTTCTCATATAAAGTCTTTAAAATACCACCTTTTTCATCCATCGTCAGTTAACACATGCATTCATTTTTACATCTGAAAAAAAAAATTGAGGTATAGTAGACTCACTT